TGACATCAGCCTTTGCCCTTATGTTGCTAGAACATGGCTCCTAAGGGAGCCCAGGGCAGACCGAGTTGCCGGGTGGCACCTGGTTCTATCCTGCCTGCCTTGGCGGCCCGTCTGGAGAACGCTAAGGCCCGTATGGAGAGTGGGACAAGCTGGGTTGTGTGGCCAACCTGCATTGAAGCTGGGACTGGCTCTACCAGGACCCAGAAGACTGGCTCTTAGCCTCCCTGAACCTCCTCCTGTCCATCCGTAAAGTGGACAGCAGCACCCATCACCAGTCCAGTGAGGACTCAGGGTGATGAGGGTGTAAGCTCCCCCCCCCCAGGCCACTGGTGGAGTCCAGTGTGGTCTCATTGCCTGAGTTTGTCCTTCCAAAGGTTGAGTGTGTAGGGAGGGTGCAGCCTGGCTTGACCGCAGCACACGTGCACGTGTACATGGGGTGCAGGCGGACCCCTGGGGCCCGTCTTCCTAGACTGCACGAGAACTGGAGGGGAAACAGGAGGCACGTCACTTCCCTGAGCAGAGAAGCTTTGCTCTTTGTTTGTGGCGGTCCTGCCAGGAGAGTTTTGGAGGGGTTTGTCACCAGGAGGCAGAGCTGAGGGATAAGCAGGGGACCCTGGACGCGGGCACAGCCGGAGCACAGTCCCTTGGCAGAGCTCCCTCACTCCTTGTGACCCCAAGGTGGAGATGGGGCTGTCCTGCTGCCCTTTGTCCTCACTGGCCGGGCAGACCTGTGACCCAAGTCAGTCAAAACGGCGTCACTGCGCAGGCGCTGGGATGCCCAGGAGCTAGCCGGGCAGGAAGGCTGCTGGGGACCTGCCAACGCTGCCCATGCAGCCGGGCCTGGCCCCTCCCATTGACGCCCATAGAAATGCAGGGCTGGGGGGCCCCAGGTGGGGGCAGGGCTGACCCTGCCTTAGATTTGCCTTAAGGCCTGGATTCCTGGGACCGCAGGGTGGCAGGGACATGGGCTGTGTGACATCTTGGAAAGAGGGCCACCAGGAATTGCGCCAAGCTCGCAAGTGTCTCTAGCAGGGACCCCTTCTCTTCCTGACCCTTCTGGAGCATGTGTGCAGAGGGGGTGGCAGGGAGCCCTTGTGGCAGCCCCGCTCCCTGCTGGCTTATAGATCCTGAGCCAGCCAGGGAGTAAGTAAAAGAAGATGCTGGTTCTGAACATGGTACTCAGCCCAGGACCCCTGCGAGGGGGCAGGCCCGGTCGCCGTGTGCCACAGCGCCACACTTGAAGGGGTTTGGTCTCACTTGCGCAGCACAGGCATGAGTTTGCAGAAGGCGCTGGTCATTGCCCATGTCGTTGGGTCTCTGTCCTGGCTGCAGGGAAGTGATCTTGGTGCAGGGCCTCTCCTGAGCGCCCCCAAGTTCCACAACAGGGATGAGGTTGGCCTCGTGGTACAGAGAGGTATGTGCGAGGAGGCCGCCCTCCTGGCCTGGACTTCGGTTGCACGCGCCCTTTGGCATCAGTAAGGAAGCGAGCTCCCGTCTCCAGCCCTGGCATGTGCTGTGGGTTTGAATCTCAACTCCCTCCATCCTTCCAGTGAAGTCCCACAGAACGACGCCATCGTTCCCTCACTTCTGAAAAAGTAACAGGTAGCGGAGCCCCGGGGCCTTCCTGGCCTGCTCACCGGGCCTCTGTTGGCCTCTGACTTGCCCCTCCGGGGCCCTGCAATGTGTGGAGGGGCTGCACAGGCCCCTAGTTAGGGGAGCGCTCACTTGCAGTGGGGGTGCCAGGGCCCCACTGCAGGTCTCTGAGGGTAGGTTTGGGCCTGTCATGGACCTGGGGACAGCATGGCTTCCTGGGTCCAAAAGCGTCTGCCTGAGCCCTGGGACAGCCTTGGGCTCGGGCTCTGAGAGAGCCCCTCCCACAGGGAGGACCCCACAGGGAGGAGCCCCACCAGAGGGGCTGAGCCCTTCTCAGGCCTCCAGAGTCCCTCTGGATAAGGTGGTCTTGGACCTGGCCTGTGTCTGGTGGTCGCAGTTCTGAGCACTGCGACCTGGAGGCAGCTGGGAGCCCGCTCTCCCACCAGGGCGGTGTCTGTGAGGAGCTGGAAGGAAGGACAGTTCTCTGGCCAGGGCGGGAGGGCCTTCTGCTTCCCCAGCGCCACAGTGTTTAGGTCGCTGCCCCTGCCTCAGGCCGGCGAGTCAGCAGCACCTGTGTGAGCAGGCGGTGCCCTGCCCAGGTGGCCTGGCCGGCACCCCAGCGCCCCTCCTGCCCTGCCCCCTCGCACCCACATTCCTCGTGCATGAGCTCAGCTGCTGCACTGAGGAAGCGAAACCTGGCGGCTGTCCCCATGTGGCACTGGGTGGGTGTGGGCGGGCTGCTGCGGCGACCCCTTCTGTTGGCCTGGGCGGCCGCAGGCTGTTTTCTGCTGTCACTCAGGATGTTTGGGGCTCCGGGTGGGAGCTGCGGAGCCTCCTCTTCTGCCCTGAGGGTGGTCCTAGAGCTCTGCACCCTGGGTCGGCTCTCACAGGCCCCCCACCCCAGGGCTCTGTCTCAGCTCCATGCCTATCACTGCAGTGAGACACATCTTACACTGAAACTGCACGCATACACACACACACATATACACACTCACTTGTGTGCACGTCTGGAACACAGAATCGAGGTCAGAAGCTACCCTCACTAGGTCTATACTCTGCTTCAGGTCCATTTCCTTTGGACAAACAAACACATGCACCCGCCAGCATTTCTCTGCCCCGACGCAGGTTCGGGTGGTGTTGAGCAGCGAGGCGGAGGGCTCAGCCAGCCTGTGCGTGCACCCTCATCAGACAGTCTAACCTGGGGCCCCTCTGCAGTCAGGCTGTTTTCTGCTGTCACTCAGGATGTTTGGGGCTCCGGGTGGGAGCTGCGGAGCCTCCTCTTCTGCCCTGAGGGTGGTCCTAGAGCTCTGCACCCTGGGTCGGCTCTCACAGGCCCCCCACCCCAGGGCTCTGTCTCAGCTCCATGCCTATCACTGCAGTGAGACACATCTTACACTGAAACTGCACGCATACACACACACACATATACACACTCACTTGTGTGCACGTCTGGAACACAGAATCGAGGTCAGAAGCTACCCTCACTAGGTCTATACTCTGCTTCAGGTCCATTTCCTTTGGACAAACAAACACATGCACCCGCCAGCATTTCTCTGCCCTGACGCAGGTTCGGGTGGTGTTGAGCAGCGAGGCGGAGGGCTCAGCCAGCCTGTGCGTGCACCCTCATCAGACAGTCTAACCTGGGGCCCCTCTGCAGCCTTCCTGGATGCTAGTCCCTCGTCCACTGCCTGTTACCTGACACCCTGCCCTGACTCCAAGGCTCTCCTTGGGTTGGATGAATCTAGACCCAGGTTCTCCACCAAAGTGGTCTCCAGACCACTGAGCTCCGTCCCTCATTGTGATGGGGCCAACTTTCCACTGAACCTTCACCTCTTAGGTTTCTGAGCAGCTCTGAGGGGTGGCCTGCATCTGAGTAGTCTTGGCTACGATCTGGTCTCCTTGGAGCAGCCAAGGGGTACATTTCTTTTTGAAATGTATCGGATGGGCCCTTGGCTTCCCATCATGTTCAGAGAAAGAGGCGTCCCCACCACGGGCTGTGAGACTGGGGGATTGGCCATTACGGCACCACTTCTGCCTGTTCTTCCCTCCCACCACCCTTTCCCTGGCTCCTGCCATCCTGTGCCTGACACCAGCAGGCCCTGGCCTCGGGGCCTTTACACGCACCTGCCTGAAGCCCTCCTCTGTTGACAGCATGCTTCCCTCCCCGGTGTCCCCTCTGGGCTGAGCTGTGTCCTTCCCTCCTGTTCTCCCGGCGTGGGATCCTGCCCAGTGTGTGATGTGGGCCTGTCTCCCCTCCCAGGACTTGGTCCTTTGGGTTGCTGCTGCGTCCCCCGTGTGCCTCAGCCCTGCTGCAGCACATGGCAGGTGCCCATCCCTTTGCCTTGTCCAGAAAGGAAGGTGCACCTGCCCTGTGAATTGGGGCGCATGTTGGGTGTGATCCCACAGCCCTTCTTGGAATCTGTGTTGGTCCCGCTGACTGAGGGCCAGGAACATGGAGGAGAGCGGTGCTGGGACTGCCTGTGTGCCAGGTGGGCAGGGGTTGGCGCTGCCCATGTTCATGTAGAAGCACCTGGGCCTCCATGGTCTGCCCACAGGGCCAGGCGACTTCCCCTCCTTGGCGGCGTTTGTCTTACCCTCAGGAAAGATCAGACACACATCACAATAACTGACCCGGAGATGTGGGATGTGACTGAAACAGGGTTTTCCTTAAAAGTCCCTTGCGGTGTTCTTGCTGGCTGGGGCTGGCACCCAACCGTCAGGGCACATTACCCAGTGGAGCTCACATTTGGCTGTTGTTTGTGTGCGCCTGTTTTTAATGCCTCATAATTAAAACATTTATTTGGCCTTCACAGTGAAAATCTGATTTCTTCAATCTAAGAACTGGTGCTATTGGCATCAAGACTTGAGTCCATCGGGTGCGCGGATCCAGAGCTGCTGGCTTATTCATCGTGCGGTGTTTGCAATCAGGCTGCGCGTTGCTCTAATCAGAGCTGATGTTTGGTAATTGATGTGTTGAGTGAAGATCGTGGTGGGAGGGGGCTCCAGGCGGCGATGAGCCTTTTGTGTGTGGCCTGCTGGGGGGCCTTCCTCACTGACTCAGCCCTGCCAGACGGGATAATGGCTCCTCAGCGCAGCGTGTCTGAGTGCCAGCTATATGCCAGGCACGGCCCCACGCGTCCTGCACATGCTCACTTGTTTGATCTGCCAGGCCCTGATGGAGCAGGTTCTGGCCTTCCCCCCATTGTACAGATGTTGGTACTGAGGCTCTGGAACGTCACTTGCCAGAGGACATTCAGCAGGGACCGAGCTGCAGTTTGGACACGAAGCCCGGCTGTGGCTTCGTGGGCTCGACCAACGTATGATGCCTGCGTGATTTTCCCCTCACCATTCAGGCCTCCAAGCGGCCAGGTGTCTTGCCTCTAATGCTGTTCTCTGCTCTCTTCCAGACCATCATGGAACAGTTCAACCCCAGCCTGCGGAACTTCATCGCCATGGGCAAGAACTACGAGAAGGCATTGGCAGGTGAGGCCTGCTGGTGGGAGTGAGGATGTCTGAGCAGGTGGACAGCTTCACAGGCCCTGATGAGGGAGGGACAAAGATGTTTCCAGAAGCCCGACGTGGCTGAGCAAGGGTGTAGGCCATAGGTGCCGCACCACGGAGGCCCGTGATGTTCTGTGCACACTGTGGACACGGGGCCAACTCTGGAAGTGGGTGGGTCAGCCAGCACGTTTCAGGCCGATAGTGGTTCATTTCCTGAAAGAAACATCCAAGGACATGTCTCACCCCCATGGGTTTTCTCTCGGAGTGACGTCACTTCATTCTCCGCCGCGCAGGTTGTCGGCCTTGGGGGAACCCATCATGGCCCACCTCGGCTCCTGCTCACATGCCCTAGCTGCTTGGATGTGAGGCACACGCCTCCTTCCAGTGGCCCTCGGCCTCCCCAAGGCCAGGCCGGGACTCTCTAGGCTTTCCTGTTGTCTCTTCCAAGGAGCCCACCCTGCTCAAGCAGCGGGCACTCCAGCCCCTGGGGCACGGAGCCCACACGAGCTCCCGACTGCGCGCACTTAATTGAAAACTACCTAAATAAAATTTGATCGAGTGCCCAGTTATAAGCCCCTAACTGGATTCTGGAGAAAACGGATTAGAAATTGTAATTATGGTGGCTGCTCCCCACGGCCCCACTCTGGAGGTGCCCTCTTTCTCCTTCCAGCCTGAAGGGTGGTGTGGAGGGGGCTCCTCCAATGAAGGGGTTTGTAGACACTCCCAAGGTTTTTGAAGGGTCTTTTGAGTTCCTGAAGGAAGCTCTGTCCTGGGCAGCAGCCCCCGGGCTTGGTCCCAGGAAGTCAGCTGGCTTGGAGCTTGCCGTCGAAATCCCCCGCAAAGTCAGGTCTGCCTCTGGTTTGAGCAGAAGTCGCCGTGGGAAGTGGTGTGTGAGGCCACGCCCCCCACCCCCAGCCTGCTGCCTTTATCCTGATTTGAGTGTGTGACTCACTCCCACTTGCACAGCTCAACCCTGAGACACAGGACATTGTCAGAGCCCTCAGCCCAGGCTGGCTGGGGGTGGTCTTCCTGTCGAAGCAACTTCGCAGGTCTCCACCCGGAGGTTGGTGCTCGTCTCGTCAGGGACACCAGGCCTTGTGGTCAAGGTGGCACCCTGTAATTTGACTGGATTAACTCTGGACCTGAACAGTACACTGTGTCCTTAGAGAAGGTGCTCTCAGCTTTGGGACAAGAGAACGTCAACAAGAGACGGGTGGAGGTCCTGCTCCGGCTGGAGCCTGCTGGGCACAGGGGAGGCAGCTGCGTGGCAGGCGGGCAGGGTGGCCGAGTAGGTGCTGCAGGTGGTAATTTCCTCATGAGGGAAGTAACCACCCCTTCCTCTCCTCTCTCAGGTGTGACGTATGCTGCCAAAGGCTATTTTGACGCTCTGGTGAAGATGGGCGAGCTGGCCAGCGAGAGCCAGGGCTCCAAAGAACTCGGTAAGACCCTGAAACGTGGCAGAGACCCCGGAGGTCCCTGAAGTCAGATGTCCCCAGGCAGATCAGGGACCCCACCCTGTGTCTGGTCCTTCTTTCATTTGCGGTCGTGTTTTCCCTGTCCAGTAAGAAAAGACTTCCTAAACTGATAGACGATAGTTGCCCTCAGAGCTAGTGAGGGCTGTGGGGTGCATAGGGTGCACTGGGCGGCTCCAGGTCCCCTTAGAAGTGTGTTTTGGGGATGAGGAGACAGGCAGATCCACATTTATAGGTGTTTGTGGCAAAACTTGAATTGGCTGGCATAGAGGAGCCATGTGAAAAGGTGGACTCAGGTGATGGCCTTTGATGGTATGCTTAAACGTTTCTGGTGTAAAAATTAGTGAGAAAAAATACAAAACCTTGGCATGGTGTGACCAAATTTTGTAAAAATACTCTGGGAGCATGCTAATCTCATGATGGAGACCCCAGAAGCTTAACAGGTGGAGTTTCTGGGTGTGATTCTTTTCTTTACACTTTTTCTGTGTTTGACACCTTTCCAACAGGAGCTCATGTTTCTTTTATAATCGAGGCACACGATGTGGAATGTAGAGAGCCGTGGGCTCCTCAGAGCAACCCCAGGTTCTTGGCAGGTTGGAGGGCGTTTGGTTTCTCTGTGTGCCCAATCATTCTGGCTCCCAGAGGTGCCTGCGTCTTGCCCACCACATGGTCTTCAGCAGAGCCCGCCCACTCTCGCCAGCCTGTCCACCTGCAGACTTTTCACACCATCCTGCCTTGGAAGCTGGGCCAGTCCACCACAGGGCTTTGTGGTACCCTCTGCCACTCCCTTGTCTGAGGACTGGCCCCAGCTGGCCCCACCGTCCCGGCCCTGAGTCAGCGCCATCCCTGGCAGGCCTGCTCTGTGTGTTGACTGCCACCCTGGCAGAGCAGCAGCAGCGTCTGGGTTTCCCTGAGGCCAATGTAAAAACCAAAGCAACTCCGGGGCCTTCCTGGGCTGGGAGCAGGGGCTGGCGACCGTGGAGACGAGGACAGGCAGAATGAGTGGCCAGGGCCAGACTCCTCATGGGGTCTGGGCTCTGCTCACCTGGATGTGGGCCTTCAGTGTTTAAAGAGCTGGCTGGTCTCCAGCTCTCCAGCTCTAGGTGGTGGTGCTTTAGTTGGTAAGTCATGTTCGACTCTCGAGACCCTGTGAACTGTAGCCCGCCAGGTTCTTCTGTCCCTGGGATTCTCCAGGCAAGAATACTGGAGTGGGTAGCCATTTTCTTCTCCAGAGGATCTTCCTGACCCAGGGATCAAACCGGGTCTCTGCATTGCAGGTGGATTCTTTACTGACTGAGCCAGCGGGGAAGCCCTCTGTAGCTCTAGAGGGACTCTCATGGCCTCTTGGGGATGCCGAGCCAACCTGCCCTGGACGACAGGCCTGCAGGCTTGGCCTGGCTGGTGACGTGTTGGGTGGATGGAGGCCTGAACTCCTTGGGGACCAGTCATGGCTGTAAACCAGCCGGCTCTGAGCTCAGAGGCCACTTGTGGGCCCCGCCTGGTGCTCCTGGACCTCCCAGCGATGGCTCCTCAGAGGAAGTTTGGGTGTTGAGTGTGAGCCTGTGTGTGTGTACACAACCCCTGTCTGTGAGAAGGGGCACTTTCTTATCACGGTTGATTGTGGTGGCCGGGAGGAGACACCCCAGAGTGTGAGGGTGGACATGTGCAAATCTGTGTGAGATTCTCAAATTTCCCCTCGCCGAAGTCCTTGAGGGTTGTTACAGCAGGCCTGGTGAGTGGATGGCAGGCTCCTGCCATGAAGTCTGCTCATGGAGGGGGTGGGGGCCACACTGGGCGTTGCGGGAGGGACATCCCTCCTCCTACCAGTCTATTTGCTGTCTGGGCTCCGGCCTGAATCTGGGAACTTCTGGTTTACTTGTGGGTTCTTGAAATCTCTCTAGGGGCTTGTGGTCCATGGGGTCTGTCACCAAATGGGAATTCCCACTGTGTGTGTCCAGGAAGGCGCCAGCCAAGGGGAGACCCTGTTTCCTCCATTCACGACAGTTCTGACACCAGATGTGGGTTTTCCAGCACCAGCGAGCCCTCCAGTGTCTGAGGACCCCAGCCGGGGGGTCCCACAGCTCAGCTCACTTCTGACACCATCTCCCTGGTGTCAGTACGGACCCTCATCCTGAAAGACTGCCCCCCCCCCACCCTAGAGGCCGGCACAAGTCGAGGGTCCCTGGTTCCCCACACTTCTGTCCAATTTGGCTACAAACGGGCTTCCCACTACTCCCTCCTCGGGTCTGGCTCTGTGCTGGAACAGTTCACAGAACTCAGGGGCAGGCTTACTGTCTTATGGATGTCATGAAGGACCCAGCTGAGCGGCCAGAGGAGCAGATGCCCAGGGCAAGGTCTGGGAGGGTGCCAAGTGCAGAAGCTTCTGTCCCTGTGGAGTTGGGGTGCCCTCCCCTCCCAGTACGTGGGTGTGTCCACCACCCTGTAAGCTATCTGAACCCCGTGTTTAAGGAGTTTGCAGGCATGAGCAGTTGTTAGCTCAGCCTCCAGCCCCTGTCCTAGAGGATGGGGTGGGGCCTCTACTTCTGATGCTGGCTGTGGCTGGATCTTCCTGGTGACCAGCCCCCATCCAGGAGCCCAGGCAGAGTTGCCTCTGGAACAAAGGACGTTGCTATCACCAGGAGATAACGGGATTAGGAGCTCCATATCAGGAAGTTGGGGGGGAGGCAGAGACCAGCGTGCCTTTCTTCTCACATCATTGCTCCATTTTTTCTTTAGGTAACAGCTTTATCAGGACACAATTCACATGCTATACAGTTACCACTGAAAGTGTACAACTCTGTGTTTTCTAGTGTTTTCAGGAAGTTGTGCACCCATCATAGCTGTCTCATTCCCAAACTTTTCTTCATCCCAGAAATGCAGGCCATCCTCGTTAGCAGTCACTCCCCCTCCCCCAGCCTCTGGAAGCCGCTGGCCTGGTGTCTGTGTCCATGGCTTTGCCTGGACGTTTCACACAGAAGAAAGCAAGCGCTGACCCTTGGTGACCCGTTTATCTCCAGCTTCTTTTAGCTGAAGAGGGTGTCTTCGAAGTGCATCCGTGTTGTAGCGTGTGTCAGCTCCATTCTTTTTATGGCTGAATAATACTCCCTTGTCCACACAAGGGAGTATTATTCCATTCCCCAGCTGATGAACATCAGGGCTGTTTCCACATTTTGACCAGTATCAGTGCTGTTGGTGTCAGCAGGCAGTACAAATGTGTGTGGACACTTCATATATCCCTGGAAGGGGAACTGCTGAGTCACACGGTCGGGGTTGAATTTTTATTAAAGCAGCACACATGCGGGTTTAAAAATAAGTCCCCCTGCCCCCCACATGCCTGAGGCCCACTTCTCAGCCCTGCATATTGTCTGTCTGTGTTTGCTTCCATACGTGTAAACAGGCAAGTTTCTGCTGTTTCTTCTGTTTAATTTTGGACATTATTTAATGAATCTTTTTCTAGAGGATTTGGATTTAGCGTTTTTATATTGCTCCTCTCTCCCCACCCAAGAGAACAATTACAACTTTTGCTTTAATCAGTGCCCAATATAGCCTTTGTACGGTGCTGGCGGGAACCCTCAGCTCAGAACAGTCTGCCCACAGCACAGCGGACAGCAGGTCTGAAATGGAAGCCTGATGAGACAGACATGAGCACACATCTGCCCAGGTAGTGATCAGCCCCGCAGAAAACCTCCTGCCTCTCTCGCTCCATGCCTGCCCCATTCCAGACAACCACTGTCGTGCGTTCTGCCCTGAGACTTGGCGTGCATTTGCTGGAGTTTCTATAAATTGACCCGTGTAGTGTGTGCTGTGCTCTCTGAGTTGGGCCTCTTTTATCTCATGATTGTTTTGAAAGTCGTCCCAGGGTTGCACACACCTCCAGACCATCCTGCCTTCACGACGAGTGGTTCTGCTGTGTGGACGTGCCCTATTGTTTACACGTTCTTCTGTTGACGGACATCTGGGTTGTTTCCAGTTTGGGGCATTTCCACATCTATGAACTAATGACTTCGGGCATCTTTTCATGTGCTGTTTGCTGTTTATCTTCTTCGGTGAAATGTCTCTTCAGGTCTTTGTGCCCTTGTTTTGGTTGGGGTTTTGTCTTCTGATTGAGCATTTTAGGTAGAAGTGCTTGGCAGAGCCTGGTGGGCTGCCGTCTATGGGGTTGCACAGAGTCGGACACGACTGAAGCAACTTAGCAGCAGCAGCAGCTCTGTCAGATACACTTCGCAAATATTTTCTCCCAGACTCGTTGGCCTTTTATTTTTATCACAGTAGTTTTAGAACAGAATGTTTAGTCTTAATGAAGTCCAGTTGAGTGATGTTTTTTTTTCCTGAACTGTGGTCCATAGGTTTTCTTTACTATTTTGACAGCTTTGTTTTTCCTAGAGTTAATAACTGCCTGCCTTCATTTGCATAGTTGTCAGTTTGCAATCATGAACTCAGTCCCAAACCCGAGACTGCACTCTGGGGTTCCTCCCAGCTGGCAGTGGTCCCGTTAACCTGGCTGCTTCACCCCCTCTTGGAACCTGCCTCCTGGAGCCCCCCATACCCCCAGGGCCAGTGGCTGGGCTGTGCATGCATGGACCACCCTTCTCCAGCCTGGGACTGCGTTTTCTGCGTCCTGGGTCCTGTCTTACTCCCTCAGTTAGGGCGACCATCCTTCCTTTTAGTGGTTCCTCAGCAGGAAAAGGGGAAACATATTTCTGAACGCATGTCTGTCTGTGGATGTTTCTCTGTCTCACGCTGATGGCTTAGAATTCCTGGTGGAAGTTCACACCCCTCAGAGTTGGAAGGCATCACTTCCTTTCTTCTGACTCCCGGTGTTGCTGTCTTCAGTGTCTTGGTGGCTCACTTTTTTTTTTAATGTGAGTTTTCTGTTTTCCCCCTTCTGGAAGCTTTTGGGGTCCTTATCCTTGGGTAGGTGCTGTGAAATTTCCAGATATCGCTCCAGTGTGTATGTTGAGGGAGAG